ACTGTGAGACATTTACATGCCTCTGATTTCTTTTACCTGATGCTATATTTTCTTCACTGTTGATTCTATGTGACTTGACCTAGTTGACTACTATGCCGGCAATATAAGTTTTTACCATTGCGATCCGAGAAGTGTTTACTCCGCTTTTGATTTCGTATGCATATCCTGTTTGTTCTTGCCAGTTTCTTCTGATCTTCCATGTCCAAGTAGACTTGAAAATGGATTTCTGCTGAGAATTGAGAAATTTTTAAAAAGAGAGAGATAGAGCGCGAAGAAGAATTGGGAATATATATGACTGGGATAGCGTGCAGACTGTTTGGGACAAATAGGGAATTATTTTAGAGGCATATGTGCTAATATGTTTTAATTGTTTGGATTTATGTATTTCCCAATACTTTTAATTTAGAGAAAGATAGATATATCCTAGTGGTCTTAAGTTTTAGCTTAGCATACGTAACGTTTTTCTTTTTCGATTTTTGTCATTATATTGAACTAATATGTATAAGCCAATATCTAGTAAAATTTAATTTTACTATTTTTTGTTATTGAACAAAAATGGAAAAAACATGAAGCCACATTAAAGCTATTTTAGTTCTATTTCAAACACAGAATATAATTGCACGCACAGAGCGAAGCCAGTATTTTTAGTTTATTAGTTCTTATTGAATCTGTGTAATTTACATGATTATGAAAAGATATTTTGTACATATTAAATAAATAGTGAACAAAACTACATAATTTTATCGTTTCCTGCACACACATACGTCCTATTTTATTAGAAATAGCATAAGCATAATGTTACAAAAAGTAATTACTACATAGCATATGCAGAGTGTATAGCTCTTTAAGAGCCTTAGTATTTGAAATGTGATAGCCTTTAAAGTGATTCCTACAGGTTTATAGACTTGATTATATGTTACGATTGGCTTCTTCTTGTTCTTGATTTTCTTTGGCATAATTATATTTTTCATTGGTAAGCCTATTAAAATGTACCTTGAGATTGTAGTGAAGCAACTCTTATTAGTAACATTTTTATTTGGGAATAGTTTCTAAGTGTTCTGCTGGTACATTTTATACATTGTTCTATCTACATATTAATAATCTAATTGATGGATGGTGAATTTGGTATTTCAATGAATTTTGCTATCTGATGCACTTCTTCTGTAATGTACATCATTCTTGATTTCTAACTAATTTAGACAACTTGTGTTTAATGTAGATTCTGTTTACTAACAACCCCAGACTAAATCCTGTGTTGCTCATTTATTGAATGATATTTAGTTAAAGCTTATTCCAATCATAAAGGATTTTTTTCGTATTTTAGTACTGTGACATAGTTGAAACTGCTTGAATAAAATGGTTCCTTTACCTTGAGGTTGCAACTGATATTTGGTTCTAAGGTACAGGCTACAATTACATAAATACTGGTAAAGCTTGTTTTGGGTACCTAATATCATGATTCTGTTGTTAGCATTCAGGCTACTGTCCCAGAATATCCCCTTATTTTGGCTAAATTTCATCTCAATGAAACTCCGCAGAAGTTTTACTTAGTCGTTTTATTCTGCATTCCAGTGATTTTGTGAAATGTATTTTCAAAGGTTTCTTATTTTTCTTAAATTTTCTTCCCTGTCAAACGAAGCTATATAATGGAGGGAGTATAATATATCAGGTTGAATGCCGGAATTGCATGTTGCAGTAGTGTATGCGTATAGATAGTTTGAATTAATGCCTATCCTTTTAAGTTGTGTTTGTTTATTTTGACTTGATTTTATTGGTAATACTCCAAAAATAGCAATATAGAACATAATCTTGTATGTTACTGTTAATCCTTCTGCGTCTCCAGTTTCGATTGTATCCTGTCTTGGAAGCATATCCTTCTTCCAAAACGGTTATTCTTGAGTTATTCTTGAGTGTTACAGTCTAACCGAAAAAGATTTTTTCCTGTTGCTCTTTTCTTCTAATATATGTTCATTCACTGATGTAATTATTCGTGGCGTTATTATTTGTTTACCTTATGAAATCTTCCGGTCATGTAGATTACACCAATGTTGAGAAATGGAGAAACTGGAGATTGGATTGGAACATTTGAAGGGCATAAAGGAGATGTGTGGAGTTGTTGTCTGGATAAACATGCTCTCCGTGCTGCATCTGCATCTTCAGATTTCAGCGCGTATGTTTATCTCATACTTTGTGAAATAACCATTTTAAGCGACCATATTTATGTGCTGCCATCTGTCATTAGGGAAGCGATGTAGAACAATAGAAGTGCTATTGTAGCATGTGTATTAATGGCCAACCTAGCATGTTATTAGTTAAAACAGGTTTAACTAATCTAATAGCAGACACAGTAGAAGTTAAATTTTATCTGATATTGTTAACATTGATTGAAAGTTACAGTTTTACTACTGCTATTTTATTCGCTATTTTTCATCCTACTATTACAATAATATTTAAGCAGGAAGTTAAATGTTATCTGATATTGTAAATTGATTGATGAACTGATTTTACTTTGCTGATATCCCATGCTATAAGGATTTTCATGCGTCTTCCTTTCTTCAGTTTGTGTGTGCTGAAAGAAATTTGCAACATAATAATGTGAGTGTGTCATTTTATTATGTTGCAAATAATATTTTGACTGTGTCATTTGGCAATTCACTTAACTAAAAGAGAAAATAACTCTTCGATGCATTTTTTTTTGTGACATGTCTAATAAGACAGCCAAAATATTGACGCAAGGAGCTTCATAAAGCTATCAAGATGTGCGAGAAATCCTTAGTTTCTGCAGATGCAGCAATGACATCATTAGGAAACCTTCAACGGGTATAAAATTCTGCATTGGTGTCATTAATCTTTTTGTCGTGGTTTATTATCAGCATTTTCACATTAAATATTTGCTGTTACTGTAGGCATTCGTGTGCTCTTCAGAGACAGGGGATTGTGATTCTTTCCTGTCAAACAATGACTGGAAATCTGCTGCAAGAGTAATGTTCAACAAAATGCACTATAATTTGCCTCCTTGGTCCATTACCATCCTTCCTGAATGCAGAAATGTAGTATTCAGCACAGCTAAAGTAACGTAATACACCAGCTAGGAAACATCTGTACATTCAATAATAATCATTAGTTGCTTTAGCTTCTGCTAAAAGTTTGTGGTTATTAGCTTCACTATTTCTGCTGATTAATATGATCGCGTGTACTGGTGATGCTGACTCAGACGCGATGCAAGACTATCTTATCCTATTGTTTGTGCTGCCAATAAATCTACAATTCATAACAGTTCTTTTTTCTCAGTGTTATATAAAATTCTGAAGGTGATGTTATTTCCATGTTGCAGGTGCTGAAGTTGCTGTTCTTTGCATAACAAAGTCTGGTGAAGTCCTGAATTATAAGTCATTCACAGATTCCATGGGGATATATAGAGTGGCCGAGACAATGCCAGAGATTGATCGTTGGGATGCCTGCCTTGCAAGACTCTAGGCATCAGACATGCTCGGGATATATACATATAGTCTATTGAGAGAACTAAAGATGGTGCAGCAGACACAATATTAATTTTTTACATGTACAAATGATAAGTATGATTGCACTTGGGCAAAATCCTAAGAGTTTCATAGTCTTGAAACTGAGTCAAGCAAACAGAGCACTCTGTTCCTTCATTTAGTCCCTGCCCTTTTTCATAATTGCAAATTGTGATAGCACTAACAACTGATGGCTGAAGACTAACTGTTCTAACACCAATAGACTCCTCTTCTTCTTCTCCTGCTATTTTATTTTTTTTTTGTTGCACTTGTGAAGGAGTTCTTAAGTGGAGCACTGATGTCAGACCATGCTAACTACATTTCTGGAGTGCTGATATTGATTGATCAGTTAGAAGGAAAGAAACTCAGTCACGCAAAAGAGGTCATTTTGAGTGCTGAACTTTGTTAAGCTTACACGTCAGAAGATTGAGCTTCATTAAGGATCTCATCAGCTTTTTCCTCTACCATTTCCCTATCTGCAATTGCAATTGATCTTCCATATAGATTTTCCTGAAAAAAGATACAAACTTTATTATCAAAATCATATCTTTTTTAACAGCTAACGATTGGAACTGAAATTACAATAAAAAGTGTAGTAGTAAATTTTCGAACCAGATTGGAAAGGCCATTGGGAGAAAGACCAAAAGAGAGAAGTGAAGTGTAAGCTTCCATATACACTTTGCTGCATTTTTTCACAGTTTCTAGACCTTTCAATGTTATGTCTTTTTCGTCCCCTAGTCCCAATCCTATTATATACAGCATGATGATTTCTACTTGGTTTTACTTCCAATGTCCCTATACTGAATTTAGTATGTTTGGAGTTCTTGTCAGTTGTTATGTGAGCCATTTTCTCGTCAGTGAACTTGATATGATATCAAGTCTTTTATGGATGACTTTTGGTCAGTTGCTCGGCTGTAACGATCCAAAACAGATTAATGAGCTTAAAGGATTTGCCTTTGATAGTGTAATATAGTACCTAGACATGACATTTGGTCGATACTCTAATTCTGGTTTCAGAACATGGATCAAAAAATCATCAATTATGACTAAAGAGATTCTGATTGCTGATATTATTGAAGAGGTCAAAGTGTGGACAGAATTTGTTGATTTGATCCCTGATGAGAGGATCCAAACAACAATTTGACGACAATTTGAGGAGGGATATGAGCCATTCTTTGGGTAAATGGATAGATTTCGACATTGAGACATTTGAGTGTGGCACTAAAGTTGATACGCATATTCTCCAAGTATTAGTAGATGAAGTTTTTTAGACCTCTACCGTTCTAGCTAAATTCAGATGTACCTCATAGTAGTAGCTCATTTTGTTTATGAGAGTTTGCAGTAGAAGCCTATCATGTGATAAACCTTGGCTTCAATAATTTCAAGCAAAATATTTTGTACATCAAAGATGGAAATGCTACCAACTAATTGTTGTAAACAGCTGATATGTTTAATAACAAATATCATTCATATGATCGCAGTGGCAATGGCCCATCTGTCTCAAGATATTAAATCATGATCCTAAATGGTAGAAACCAAATTGAAATACAGACCAAACTACTTCAACTTGTACCAAAGTACTTGCTAATGATCCAAAATGGTAGAAACCATATTAAAATTCAAACCAAACTACTTCAAATTGTACCAAAGCACTTGCTAATGATCCAAAATGGTAGAAACCAAATAAAAATTCAAACCAAACTACTTCAAATTGTACCAAAATACTTGCTAATGATCCAAAATGCTAGAAACCAAATAAAAATTCAAACCGAACTACTTCAAATTGTACCAAAGTACTTGCTAATGAAATTGTACGAATAAAGTCATAATCCAAAAAGTAAATGTATCAATTCACGGATTTTTCTCCTGTTTGATCATTTTTTTAAGCTTGTTACTTGAAAATTGTGTAAGATCATCACCAACATCTACTACAGATGACCCATCCTCTTCTCTACTTCTTTTGGCAGGGGTATTTGCAGGAGAAGTCATATCATTTTCAGCCATTGAATCCTACAAAGGAAAAATTTATCATTAAATACCATATTGTAGATAAGAAGCTATACAGGCAAAGTTTGAATTAGTCACCTTGAAAGTTGTGTCTGCATCAGTGTGTTGTTGACACTCAAAATCAGGGTCCTATTAAGAAAATAGTAACATAATTAATTTAAACTTGATATTCCCTTATATAAAATCAAAAGAAAAAATAGTGTATTATGAAGTATTTGAGTATCGATCACATACAGTGAATGTATCATCTTGTGCAGATTGACTATATTGTTGTATAAGGTTATCGTCCTCGCTAATTTTAACAACATTATAAATTTCTTGATGCACTTTAATGTTTGAGCTCTTGACAGTCACTTTAAACAGCACTTTTTTGTCAAGAATATCATACAACTCCACTGGATAAGAACACTCATCAACGTCAGCAGAAGCCTAAGACCGAAATAGTGTTAGAAATTGTAAAATACAATAAAATAAAATAATAAGAAAATATACAATAGAGTTGGCATTTCATTTTTCATGCCTACGCTACCGTTGAGTCACGCTTAATATGAAAATTACTGAATGAATCTATTCCATTAGTTCGATATAAAAAGCAAAAAATTTGACTATGTATGATTTGGACCAATGACATGACTTTTGGTACCCAAGCAGTATCAAATAAGACGTGCACGCCTACATCTTTATTAGGTGATTCACTACCTAAGAAAAGAAAAGCCTGGATCAATCAAAGGGTAGACCAGCTAAAGCTTTCTGACACATAGAAAGCTTGTGGTAATTTTCACTTCATAATCTACCTACAACAGAATGATATATTTGTGAAAGAGAAGATGCACATTTCTTGAATACAATATATTAACCAATTATTTTGGCTGATGAAAAAAAGCAAAACTTTGGTACTAACACACTCCAGATTAGAAATGTTATATATACCAAATATAGCTTTTGCGCATAATTACTGTCTGTTTGAAACCAAAACCAATTACCCAACATGAGAATAACTGACATAAAACAACAAATTCAAAGAGAATGAATAAATAAACCACATCAACTGCAATACTTTTCATTTTACAATCAAGATTTTAAGACAGTGAATGTAGACAATAAGCACACACCATAGTCCATATATGTATTTTTAGAGATGTTTAACTATATATAGAGGTTGAATCAAATAAATAAAATATACCTCAATTGAAATTTCATTTAACTGATTAGCAGACTTCCCAATGAGAGTTGTTGCTTCACGATCCCAAAGCAACAAATTTATAAAGCCAGTGTGATCCATTACTTGCACTCGAAGCTTGTACCTGAAAAACACATTTAGATATGATGTATTGAAACTTTAGTTTATTTAATATTTGATAACAAAATTTGTCCTTATTTTTGTAACTTGCAACTTTAGTTCTTTCACAGTAAATAGTTAAGATTATCAAACCTATGAGTGCCAAAACTATCAAGGCGATCACATTTCTTGCAGTGAAATTTACTTCCAATTTTGTCAACCTTCTTCGAGCATCTCTTGCACCCCAAATATGACCATTCTTTTTCAAGTAGAAGATTCACTACAGTCGCAACAATCCAAATATGTCCTTCCTGAAAAGAAGTCATAAGGGGAAGATTTCAGATGTTAATACCCAACAACAGTAAAGAAAGTGTGAATTTTTGTATCCAATGCTTGCTGAATTTCTTTACATTAACATGGCCTTGTAGTTGCTCAAGTTTTGTTAACTTGAAACTTTTTATTAGTGAAGTTTCAGATTGTAAAATGCTCATAAACTTACTTAACAGGTATTCCAAAAAAACATATATATGCACATGGCGTAGAAAACAAATAAGTCATTTTATTACAACTAACACTCACACAATTATGTCATTTCCAGAAAATATGTAATATATTATAAGCAAATCAAATTTGACAAAATTACTAAAACAGCAACATATATAAATTCAGAGTAAAATAGCTTCCCATTTACAAGGCATATTCAATCCCCTATATAAATGTTTTCCTTTGATTTGATCCTCTCATTTCCTATCAGTTAAATCTTAGTTTTATAAACATACTTCAATCCTTTGCCCGTCTATGTATTCTGGAAACTGTACACAATTTTTTTCAGAGGTTAAAACAACCACAAATAGTATTTTTTATAAATAACAGTGTTATAGATACACAACATAACATTAGTTAAATACTAAATGAGTTTAATAGATTTGTCACCTCCATGCAGTCGACCAATTCGCTAATAGTCTTAACTTCTACAGTTCCATTAGCCAACTCATCAGAAACAGAATAACTACGCTGAGAAGGTATTTGACTGATCCTGGCAGAGTTAGCTTCATTCACACTTGTCATTCTGTATTTACGCAAGCTTGTATTAGTTATAACAATAAATAGTTATTTGTGTAGTATCCAGCAAAACTTAATTTATGAAATAACTAACCTGGACTTAAAATCATTAGCTTGAGGAAGATCCGGGTTAATCCAGAGCTTTGAGGCATGCCAAGTATTACGCACAGAATATTTGCCTATATATAACTTTAATTTTTGAAACAAAAACTTAACATAAATATATTATCAAATAACATCAGTACAATAGAAATACCTTGAAATTTGTGCGCTTTTATCAACTGCATAACAATTATGACCGGCTGATGGGGTGATCCCTGTAAATGTGGCAAGATTTGGTCAACGAATTCTCCCCAAAATGTTGCAGAGATATTATTCCTCCTGCGTTAATNATATATATATATATATTTCGAAATATACGGAATGCGAATATTTTTGTATCGAAAAATATATTTTCCATAAAATCGGATTCCACAGTTAGTTGTTATCCCGAAATACCTGGCGTAGATGTCGTCGTCTTCAGAAGCGATGCGAAAGAGATGAGAACAAACGATCGGAAAAATCATCTTCAAATTTGAATGTCTCCTTGCGATGGACTAATTTCACATTTGAATGTCTCTATTTCTCCCTCTGTATCCAAATCCAACAAAATTAGGGATCTTATTTTTCGGGTTAGGGTTAAGCTAATTGAAATTCCTAATTTGTATAGGGAGATCAAGATTCCCTCAATATTTTTCGGCGTAGATGAAGCGAAGAAAATGGGGAATTTCGGACAGAATAGATCGAAGATGATAAGGCGTAATTGGTGCTTCTCCAGATTTTGAGGCGTAATGTATGCTGGTGACCGAATATTGGGTCATTTTGAGTCTCACCAAAAACCCTATTATAATATATAATATATATCCTTGTTTTTAGTACAGAATATTGGGTTTTCATTTTATTTTAAATTATCGTTATTTAATGTAAGAAAGAGCAATTTACTCTTTTCCTTTTTTTAACAGTTCATATAGCTTTATTTATTTCATCTTCCTTTTTGTTAAAGTAATTTCTATAGCTTTTTATATCCATAAATGTCGATGGATTTGTTTCATCTTCCTTTTTGTTAAAGTAATTCCTATAGCTTTTTATATCCATAAATGTCGATGGATTTGTCTTGTTTTTTTTTTTTTTTGCCATAATTATAGAATTCTATATGACATATGCATCTTTATAGGAAATTGATAAGTCTTAATATATTTACTTTCCACTTGTCATTTAAATATGTTGCCAATTGGCATTATAATAATTTGACATTTGGCATATATTTAAGGCAAACTTCTTTGCTTTAATATATATATAGATAGTTGTATTGGTGGTGAAAAAGAGCTACACGTGAAATATTAGACTGCTGACATGGCACAACGCGTGGAACAATAATACAGCGATACGTGCCAATCTTATTTGATGGAAAAAGAGAAGTCACGGGGAGAAATACCCACGAAACAGCATCGGCCTAACAGCTGGTTAAGAATGAATAAATAGTAGAAAGAAGGAAAGATACATGAACCGGAAAAAAATAAGGAAGGGGAATCGTAACAGATGTAAGGCATTTATAGCAATAAACGCATCGGTTATGAGAATCCAAAATAATGGGTAATCAATATCAATAATGCTCATAATTAGCCCAAATTATGGGGGAAAAACTGTTACTATTGTATATTCCTATATAAGGGCGCATAATTCTATTTGTAAGGACACATATGAGACAATATTGAAATATACTCTTCACTGCTTTTTCGAAATTCTCTACCTTGACTTTGCAATTAATTATTTTCTTAGTTATTCTTGTTATTTTACTTTGATATCATTGAGAAAGTGAAGCAAAACTTGGTTATTAGAATCCAGTTTTCTTCTAAAATTAGACTTTGGCCAAAAGATATATTTTTGATTAAACAATAGTACTGTACTAAAAAGAGTTACAAATTTCATTAGAATTGGATTCAAATATAAGAAATTTCCTTTTATTAACAACTCCAAGAGATTGTTAACCTAAAGGGAGTGATGTTATTGAATTTCTTGCTTACATTAATATTTACCGTTAATAACTTTATTGGCTAGCAAGTAAATCAGGTAGTACAAAGAACATTAGAGCTTTTGCAGATGTAGGATTTGACAGCGAGAGCTACGTACTTAGCAAACTTTCTACTTGCTTCCATTTCATTAGACAAAACCTGCAAATAGTGGGTCCCAAAGTTGAATGTTGTAAAAAGAGAAGTAAAACGCATTATAATATTTCGTTTTACTAAAACGCGCGGCTAAATTTTCGTTAAAATAAAACGCAGTTTAACACTGTGTTTTAGGTAGAAAAACAACATTTTTTTTTAAATTGTATAATGTATTTTGAGTCCCAAAAATCATTATTTAGGTTTCGGACTCCTAATTCAACTACTTCTACATGATGTGGAGAGTCTTTACATGAATAGAGTCAAGATCTATCAATTACCAATAACCATATTGTTAGGACCGAAATGATTAGGTGTCATGCGGAAGCTAGCAAAGCAAACCTTGAACGACGATAAATCAATACAACAAAGAGACACAAACATATAACGTGGTTCGCTCAACTGACCTACGTCCACGGCGAAGATGAGCAATCCACTATAATAAAAAGAGAGTTCAAAATATCAAGAGAACAATCTCACGAAGAGGCAAACACAAGTAATACACTAACACTTGTCCTGTAAAGTTCTCCCCCTAAACAAGACTCTCAAGCCCCCTATGGCTACATTGTGGATGCTACCGAATGAGAAGGAAAGATCTTCAATTTATAGAAGTCCAAACTTTTTCCTACGAGAAAAGGGACTAGCCAAATATGGGAGATTTATAATTTCCTTTTATAAGAAGGAAAATCCAATTATGATAAATGTATTACCCTTTCCTTCAACAGATAGGAAAATCAATATGGTAAGAAAATCTGGACATACACCTAACACATATACGAATACACTCGCATGAGCCTTGTGTCAGGGTATGAACGATACTCTTACTTACATCAACCTGACGCCTTACAAGTGTCTAACAGTTCATTAACTAGTACCATGCGTACGTAAGAAGATATCTGAAAACATATGGAGGAATGCGCATATAGGTTGCAAGTATGAATGCATAGTATACGTATTACATATCAACAACTCAATTCAACAAATTATATTATTGTTGCGGCGAGCAACCTGATTCGATCATAATATTATTACGGTGTGTAACCTGTTCCTATGGCTATGCGGCATGCACCCGGTCAAATTATAATATTGTACGGCGCGAAGTCAATCCTATTATATCAATCAGCACGAAAACAGAAACAACCAAATGAACAACTCATCAAGGTAACCGTAACAATCAAGGCAGAAGGTATATATGTAGCAACAAAAAAAGGTAGAAGGCATATACGTAACAGTAACAAACCAGGTTGCATGCACAAGTATGACAGAAAAAATTAATTTGAAGATAAATGTGTAACAGTAATAAACCAAATGAAAAGTAGAGTCCGGAATCAAAATGTGATTCTTTTGGACTCAAAACTACGTAAATAGGTGTAAAAAAAAAAGTTATCAAAGTACATATAACGCCAGAAAACCTGGCGCTATACATTAACAGTAACTGCACCGTTAATGTATAGCGCCAGATTTTCTGGCGTTATATAAAAAAAATCTGACACACTGATATAGCGCCATAAAAAGTGGCGCTATACCCTTTAAGGAGTGAAACAATTGCTTCCATCTAATTGCTAGTTTGGCAAACAAGATCCAGATTATGTGCTCACTGGATGAGATCATGATCCATCACGAAATAGTTGAACATTATATGTTTTTTTTTCTTTTTAATGTATATTATGGAAGAATATAATCTAAGTTAATAATGTAAGAATTTTACATTTTTTTGTAAAAGGTTATGTGTTATCTTCTTTTTTGAAGTCATAACCATGCTTATATAGATGACTGTGTATAGTTGAATTATCTAAAAAATTATGCCAAAGGTTTTTAGAATCTGTGTATAAACATTGCATGCTAATGAAAAGTATAACATTAGTATATGCTAACATTGCATGTTTATGAAAATGAATGAGTTGGTGCAACACTATTCATCACTCTATATTAGGTTTATTAATATTTTATTCAATCTTTTTATTTGTGTAATTTTAATTTATCATATATTGGGTATATAATTAATTTTTATATTAAGATCTTTATAATTTTAATTTTATATCCTATTTTTTGATATATTAATTTTTGTATATATTATATTTATATAAAATTATAATGCCAGAAAACCTGGCGCTATATATTAACGGTGCAGTTACCCGGCATGAAACATGACTTATACTCACAAGTACTAAAAACTATCACAAATACCCAACGGTACCATCATTAATAACATTCATTATCATTATTACAAACCATAGTCCTGAACATAAATAAATTTAGTACAAAATTATTATTTTTATAATAAACTACTTAAGACAATATCAGATGACCGAGAAGACGAAACAACATTATTACAAAATAATAAATGGTAATACAAAAGCTCGATTATAATAAACTACTTAAGACACTCCCATAAATGCTCGATTAATGCATTACGAAGTGCGAAATGCGCAACTTTATCTTTAATTTTTTTGTATCGAACTAAGAATTGTTCAAATCGGTGATCCTTAATTTTATGTACTTTAATTATAATGTATTTTTATTTTATGTATTGTTAATTTTCTTTTTTAAATTTTAGTTTTCACTTTTCAATTTTAGCAACATTAGATATCTTACATTTGCATTTTTTTATTTTTAAATAATGATTATAATTCTTTTTATACAATTATAATAATAATAATAATAATATTAAATTATAATTTTATATAAATATAATATATACAAAAATTAATATATCAAAAAATAGGATATAAAATTAAAATTATAAAGATCTTAATATAAAAATTAATTATATACCCAATATATGATAAATTAAAATTACACAAATAAAAAGATTGAATAAAATATTAATAAACCTAATATAGAGTAATGAATAGTATTGCACCAACTCATTCATTTTCATAAACATGCAATGTTAGCATATACTAATGTTATACTTTTCATTAGCATGCAATGTTTATACACAGATTCTAAAAACCTTTGGCATAATTTTTTAGATAATTCAACTATACATAGTCATCTATATAAGCATGGTTATGACTTCAAAAAAGAAGATAACACATAACCTTTTACAAAAAAATGTAAAATTCTTACATTATTAACTTAGATTATATTCTTCCATAATATACATTAAAAAGAAAAAAAACATATAATGTTCAACTATTTCGTAATGGATCTTGATCTCATCCAGTGAGCACATAATCTGGATCTTGTTTGCCAAACTAGCAATTAGATGGAAGCAATTGTTTCACTCCTTAAAGGGTATAGCGCCACTTTTTATGGCGCTATATCAGTGTGTCAGATTTTTTATATAACGCCAGAAAATCTGGCGCTATACATTAACAGTGCAGTTACCGTTAATGTATAGCGCCAGGTTTTCTGGCTTT